GGTCCCTGGAGTGTGATGCGGGGTCATTGGAGCCTGAGTGGGGATCCTGGGGTTCTGGTGGGGTCTCTGGGGTATGCAGGAGGGGTCCCTGGGCCCTAAGCGGGGTTCCTGGGATGGTGATGGTGCCCTTGGTTTGCAAAGGGTATCCCCGGGGTGGTGTGGGGGATTCCCTGAGCTCCAAGTGGTGTCCCTGGGCCTTGGGGGGGGGTCTGTGGGGTCCCGAGGACACTCCTCACTCCACTCTCTTCCACACTGCATCCAGGGTCTCCCCAGAGGGTGTCACGATGTGCACCCCACTGCTGGTGACACTGGTGACACTGGTGATGGTGCCTGTGGGAGTTTCTCCCTATGGCTTCCGCAACTGCATCCAGGCGCCGTGGGACCCTGGGCTGTTCCGCTGCATCCAGCGCTTCCTGRGCACTGTGGGGGCTGCAGTGGGTGACCTCCCCTCCACTGCCACCTCCCTCAACCTCTCTGTCAACACTTTGCGCCAGGTACCCCCCCGTGCCTTTGCCCACCTGCCGCAGCTCCACACCCTAGATCTGACCCACAACAAGCTGGAACTCCTGGCCCCGRGGGCTTTCTGGGGGCTGTTGGCACTGGACCACCTAGACCTGGCCCACAACCACCTGTCAGTGCTGGCCACAGGTGTTTTCACTGGGCTGGGCAACCTGAGCTTACTGCGGCTGGATCACAACCCACTGCAGAAGGTGGCTCCCAGTGTTTTCCAGCCACTGGCTGCACTGACTACGCTCTGGCTGCGGGGCGGCCAGCTCAGCGCACTGCAGCCTGTRGCCATGGCCATGGGGCACTTGACACACCTGGACCTGCTCGACCTGTGTGGCAACATGCTGTCRACACTGGGCCCAGGACTGCCACCCACACTGAGGGTCCTGCGCCTCTGCAACAACTCCCTGGGAGCTCTTTCAGGGGCGACCCCTGRGGTGCTGCCYYCAGGGCTGCGTGTGCTCGACCTGTCCTACAACAACATCTCARACCCCACGCCACTYGCTCGCCTGTGCCTGCACAACCTGACATACCTGCAYCTGGCTGGGAACCCACTGGATGTGGTGCAGCTGCTGCGCGTGGCTGGAGTCTCCCCGCGCCATGTGGATGTGTCAGGGCTGCAGGTGGGCACAAGAGGCTTGAAATACCTGTGCCAGCAGCTGACAGGGCCGTGGCTGCAGAGGCTGCGCCTGCAGCGCGTGGGGCTCACAGCAATGCATAATGCATCTCTGGCCAATTGCCCGTTGCTGGGTGCCCTGGATGTGTCTGGCAACCGTCTGCGGCACTTGGGCTGTGTAGGGTGGCTGCTGACSCCGGCGCAGCGCGCGGTGCTGGGTGAGCTGGTGGCTGAGCACAACCTGCTGCAGCGGCTGCCATCGTGCCACGGGACCCCGGTTCTGCACCARCTCCRCAATATKTCCCTGCGCTTCAACCGCATCCTGGTGGCTGGTGCGGGTGCCTTTGACAATGCACCGGCGCTGCGGCAGCTGCGGCTGGATGTGAAYGGGCTGGCGTGGCTGGACCGTGCAGCGCTGCGTGGACTCCRCGAACTGCGGCACCTGCGYCTTGACAACAACCTGCTCACCGACCTCCCGTCCGGCKCCTTTGCTGACCTGCACCAGCTGGARGACCTCAACCTGCGCAACAACCGTGTGTCAGTGCTCTTTCCTGGTGCCTTCAAGGGACTTGACCGCCTGCAGACCCTTGACCTGGGTGGAAACAACCTGCGTCATTTGGCCGCCATGGCGTTTCAGGGCCTCCCGCGGCTTTGCCGGCTCTACCTGGATCGCAACCGGCTGCTGGAAGTGAGTGCAGCYGCATTCCAGCCGGTGCAGGTGACACTGGGTGTGCTGGACCTGCGTGCCAATGCGCTGCGCTACCTGAGCCGACACCCGCGGCAGCTGCCACCCTTTCGCTAYCTGCACAACCTCTATGACCTGAAGCTGCAGGCGCAGCAACCATATGGGATGCGTGTGGTCCCACAACGCTTCTTCCAGGGCCTCAGTGCCTTGAGATCGCTCTACCTGTCACAGAACTCGCTCTCAGCCATCCCTGCTGATGCCTTCGATGACCTGGCACAGCTGAGGTACCTGACACTAGCTGACAGCAGCAGTGGGATGGGCAACCTTCCCGCCGGCATCTTCAAGAACCTGAGCCAACTGCATAGCCTGAACCTGGAGAGTGCAGGACTGCGCAGCCTTGGCCCCGAGGTCTTCGGCAACCTGACACAACTGAAGGAGTTACGYCTRGCCAAGAATGAGCTGCGTGCACTGGATCCGATGCTGGCCACACATCTGCCTGCCCTGCGCTACCTGGACCTGCGCAAGTGCCCACTGAGCTGCAGCTGTGCCAATGCCTGGCTGCCTGCCTGGCTGGCACGTGGGCCTGTGCAGGTGGTCTACCTGTATAACTACACCTGTGGTGAGACAGGTGAGGCCTCCAAATACCTGCACTGCTTCGACACGCGCGTCTGCTACCTGGACATGGGGCGCTACCTATTTGCAGGGACGGCACCGGCTGTGCTGCTGCTGCTGGCGCTGCCACTGCTGTACCACCGTGCGTACTGGCGGCTGCGCTACCAGCTCTTCCTACTGCGTGCGTGGGCACGTGGGCGCTGGCGGCGGGAGCAGCGGCGCTACACCTACGACACCTTCGTGTCCTACAACTCTGGGGATGAGCAGTGGGTGCTGGAGGAGCTGGTGCCTGAGCTGGAGCGTGGAGCCCTGCGGCTCTGCCTACACCATCGCGACTTTCGCCCCGGCCGTGCCATAGTGGACAACATCGTGGATGCAGTGTACAACAGCCGGCACACGGTGTGCGTGGTGAGCCGTGGGTACCTGCGCAGCGAGTGGTGCTCACTGGAGATCCAGATGGCCAGCTACCGCCTCTTTGATGAGCTGCGTGATGTCCTTGTCCTCATMTTCCTCGAGGACATCCCTGAGGCCGAGCTCTCGGCCTTCCACCGCATGCGCCGTGTGCTGCTGCGGCGCACGCACCTGCGCTGGCCCCCTGAGCCCCCTGCACAGCCCCTCTTCTGGGCAAAGCTCAGGCGTGCCCTGAGTAGTGGGGATGAGGAGGAGGAGGACAGGGAGAGGAGGAGCAGGGAGGAAGGATGCCCTGGTGCAACTCGGACCCCGGGGGAAGTTCCCCCTCAGAAAAGCAACTTTCTGCCCGAAAATCACTGTTTATTCTTTGGGGAAGGTACCCTGTGGAGTGGGGATGATGGCAGCAAGGAGRAAGAKGGGGAGGAGAGGAAGGGGGAGGGCAGGGAAGAAGGCTGCTCTGACATGGCTGGAACTCCTGTGGAGGTTCTCCCTCASAAAAACAGTTTTCTGCCACCAAATCACCGGCTTTTCTCTGGGGAATATGCTCTGCACAGTGGGGATGAAGGTAAGGAGGAGGGAGAGGAGAAGGAAGAGGAGGAGGAGGAGGAGGATGAAAGGCTATGGGGATAGAGAGCAGCTGCTGTACAGCGACCTCACCCTGGTATAATAGTGATCCATGGAGACATTCCTAATCAAAAAAATGTTGTTTTGTGTGAAAAACRAGGTTCACTCTCCTGTTAAAATTTAAAAGGTTTTAATAAATGACAACAGGGTACATAAAAGCARAAGGATACAGYGCCAGCTGCCAGAGGCACACCTGCTATTGACAGGAGACATCTTTAAATACATTTYGTATTGCAYCAGCWTAATGCTTATTCATAGGCATTTATGCATACTCAAACTTTTCCAGGAGCTGTTTAGCATGGCRCCTCCTCCAGTGTAGCCCTTTGTTCCGTGGTTTCAGTAGATGACAGTTGTGTCCGTAGCATGGGCCCCTCTGCTGTCCATGCAGATAAGCCCATCAGAAGGTTGTGGGTCTCACCAGCCAGGCTCCTCTGCACAGCAGAGGACGGATTTCCACGAGCTCTGACTAGAGACTTTTCACTGCACATCCCAAAGCCTCTGTTCCTTCCACCCCCCACCCTTTTGCTGTCAGGGTCTGTGCTGGCCTGGCAGCTGATAGTCCTGGGGCGATGGCCTCCCCACCCCGAAGCCGCTAAGCATCATGATCTCTTTGTGAATGTATGCATCCTTTTCCCCAGCTCTGAGCTGCTTCTTATCTTTAAGGACCACTGCTGCCAGGGCCTCATTCAGGGTTTTTTGGTAGCTTTCTTTGCAGCTTTTGTATAGTTTAGCTATAATATGAAAAATATCCTTTATGGAAATGTTTAAGTCACAAGCCATAACAMTYCAGTTTAACCACAAGTATTCTATGGCTATATCTGAGTTACAAAAGAAAAACAAACCAATCAGTGATGATTTTAGCMCTGTGTCCGCATAACTAAGCTATTTATGCAAAAAAGGCAACATTGTACAGATAGCAGTCATCTTAATATTTGCGAAAGCCGACACTATAATATGTGTTTATAATATTTTGTCTCAAAATCTCTGCTTTTCCTCTGAGAAATGTGCAGTTGGGACAATGGTAACAAGGAAAAGGGGAAGGAGGAGCAGAGAAGAGCAAAGTGGACCTCAGTGTTCAGATGCATGAATGCCCAACAGCAGCTTCATGACTCCATTCCTTTGCCTGGCATTTGCAGACACATGGGAGCTGCAGCTCTTGCACATCTGGCTCTTCCTGGCATGTGCTGCCGCAGCACAATCGGCTGCTTCTACCCATAGCGGCACCTCCAGGGCTGGGAAATTCCAGCGGGATATGGGAGACACCCACTATCCATCCCAGCACCAACCGTTCTGCCTCCCCACCCCAGCAGCTCCCAAGCCCCAGGCAGGTCCCCGCCTCTCTCCTGCCCGATCCTCGCCGGCAGCAGGATGTGCCTGGCTTGGCTGGTGAACCGGRGTGTGCTGCAGGTGTCCGGGCCAGCCGCTGCCGCTGGCTCATGGCCACGATCACGGGGCTGTTTGCATCTGCTGCCCAAGGAGTCCTTCCGCAAGCGCATCAGCTGCTGTCCCAGAGCGGGATGTGGCTCTGCTCAGCTTYGGCCCTGGGGCGCTCAGGAAGGTCCCTCTCGGGTCTGTCCCTGGAGAATCAGAGCCCAGCAGTGCCAGGCTAGGAATGGCTTTCCCTTGGCTCCAGCCTGTGGGCAGATGACGCTGTCGAGGGCCAGCAGTGAGCAACTGATACTGGTCCCTCCCACAGCCCCTCTCCCAAGTCCTTGGTGACCCAGGCTCAGTACCAATCTGCTCAGCTTGGCTACATGGAGATTCCCAGCAGGGCCAACAGCGAGGTTGGTCCAGCTGTTTCACCTGCATCTGCATGGATAGAGATCGTTGAGGCTACAGTTCCACACGCTCCTAGGGGGGCTGTCTGGAGCAGCAGCACCAGCGGGACCAGGGGAGGGGAGGGGAGGGAGGGGAGCCAGGAGTCACTCCCAGGCTGGGTTGGGATGAGGCAAAGCTCATCATCCTCCCTGCCCCCCTTCAGGGAAATTTTTCTCCCTGTTTCAGGCACTTAAATGCAGCATAGACAAAAKGGTTCCCAAACTAGCACTGCAYTGATGTGCAGGCCATYCCTGAACYTTCCCTGCAGCAAGCTGACAGCCCCATTCCCAATTTCTCCCCATGAGACGTTTCTGCTTCTAGACYTTCTCATTCCTCTTGTTTGCCTCCATCTTCGAACACCTCTTTGAAGGCTTCCCCACCAGGAAGGCTGTCCTAGTTTCARCCAGGACAGAGTCRCTAAAATAGAGTTAATTTTTTTTTCAGTAGCTGAGAGGTATGTCCCGAATGAGTGSTCTTGAGATTGCCCAATGGCTGTGGGCATTTCCATGAGGCCATTCAACACCATCTTATTTGCCGGGGTAAAGGAAAAGAACAATCTCCCTTGCTTCTGAGCGGAAGGGGCTTCTCCTGTGAGAAGAAGGCAAGCAAAACAATCAGTATTGTCACAGACTTCCCATGTAGATTGTTTCTTTATCTTATACATTTTGTCACTGCTTTGGTTRCTGTTTATTTTCTTATTTCATTGCTGTTTCGGTGTCAAACCACGGTCTTTGCCTTTTGGGCTTCCAGCTGGAGGGGGCAGGGAAGCAAGAACCATTATAGTTTCAGYATTAAATCATGGAATACAGTTCTTAAACCATGACAGCTTTATGTGCCGCCCAATGTGCGGCACGAAGGGTTGAGACAACAACAGAACTTTCCAGAGCTGATTGAAAACAAATGTGATCTAAGCCTTTGTTGTATCATGTGCAGAGCCACTGGTTACAATGTTGCTTGGTGTTTTCTTGTGGCTGTGGTACCTAACCCTGCCTATATTCCCGTATGTTCTTTTTTCAGAGCAGGAAGAGGGATCAGGGTTGCTTTGTTGCTGTTCTGTGGGATATCAGTTTATGACATGAGAACATCAAGGGCAGTGATAGGCCCTTTGGAGTGTGTTTTCAGTGCTGCCCCTGTCCTGGCTTTGGGTGCTACCTGTGGGAATTAATAATCGTGCCCAGCCTGTGGAAGGAAGAAGGGAGGACGATTTTCCCAATATTTCATTCTCTTTTCCTCCTCTGGGCCTGGTAAAACAACTTTTGAGAATTTTAGATTCCCTTTGGGTGTTAAGGAAAACAAATTTTAGATTCCCTTTGGGTGTTCTTGTTGCTGTGCCTGCCAGGTCTCCTGGCAGAGAACCGCGTGGTCCACATCATGTATAGAACTACAAAATACATTTTCAGAAAGGCTTTTCAGAGATCTTTCTGGAGGGAGGATAGTCAGGARTGGCATGAAATGTGGAAGGACATGGGCCAGTGTTTGGAGGACTTCTCTGCTCGAATGGTTTGGAAATTCAGCCCTGAACAACTACGGGACTCAGTTAAAGTGATAAAATATATCCATGGCAACACCCCTTACGTACCCTTTCTCTTGCATCCGTCYAATACCTGTTTGTAAACAATGACACATATTCAAACATTTCCCAAAATATTTGCACGTTCCAGGAAATTTTTAGCATGGGCCCTCCTCTGATCCGCCTTTTTAGAGTGCGTGCACTTGTCGTGCTCGTGGTTTTGAGGGTYGCGTGTGTATACCCCTGTTGYGTGGGTTCAGCAATTGACRGTTGCTGATGGTCTGTCTTAGTTTGAAAGACAGGTGTCTGTCAAGGAAGGTGGGAACCTTCCTTGCAAWGGAGARTACAAGCTGATATCCTGTCGAGCAGGGTGGTGGCTGCAGTCCCGTTGAGYGATGGATGTGGTCTCGTCGAAGCAGGGGTCCTGAAGACAGRTTGAGTCTGTCTCTGGAGGTCCAGGAGTGGTTTTTGAGCTCCCCTCCTCTGGGAATGCAGTGGCAGTAGCATTYCAGTGTCCCAGAGCCTCGGTTCMTRTGCCGGTAGGGATGTCCAGCTCCTCCTCTCTGGGTGGGGCATCTGCCAATTGGATGATGGAATTCCATGGCTCATTCCCAGAGCCCCCAATGGCCCAAGAGCAGAGATAGCCCCCCCTGACCATCCTCCCCCCTCCGGGGTGTTATCATGGCTGAGTCATGCTGARGATCAGGAGCTCTCCCACACCTGTRTTCTAGCAGCTCAYGGAGATGCCCAGAGAATACAGATTGTTTTGCTTACACTTTCCTTGGAACTCAGGACACCGTGAGCAGCAGAGCAGTGAGAAAGSCACTGGCCCAGGCAGCTGCTGCCATGTGGGCACAAGCTCTGCTGCCCAGGAGGGCCAGGGCCCTGCCATGCAGGGCTTTACAGATGGACACAGTGCCATAGAAATCAGCCCACCAAAACCCCTTCCCATCTCCACCAAAACTCACCCAAATTCYCTCCAAGCCACAAAGCCAGACTAGGACCCCAAAACTCCTGCCCCCAAAAAAATGCCCCAAGCCCTCTCCCAGCACCACAAATGCCCCCAAGAATTTTTAATMCAAATTTTCTCATTTTGGATCCCAATTTTCTCGGCTTTAATCCCATTTTTTCACTTTTAGTCACCATTTTTTTGCCCCAAGCCCCAATTTTCWCATTTTTAATCCRATTTTTCCCATTTTTAATCCCAATTTTTTTTCCCCAGAAATCTTTTGCTCAGTGCTGTTTTAACGATGGCTTGGCTATTCTTTGCTTTGCTTTGCTTTTGGAAGCCACGCCACATGAGCACACATGCCCGGAGCGCCGGGCCCTGGCGCCCTCCTTCCCCCGGCGCCGGACCCCCAGCCCCGCTCGGCCGCGTCCCTGCRCACRCCCCGGCCCCCGAGCGCTGCACCTGCACAGCCACGGCCCCTCCCGCCGCTCGGGGCTGCCCAGTCTCCGATCCCACACACACCCAGGGGCCATTCTCCGCCTCAGCTGCCGCGCCCGCCGCCATGACACCCGTGGAGGGGGCGGGCCAATGCAGCGCGCGGGAAACAAAGGAGGCGGGGCCGGCGAGCACGCGGCCAATCCGAATCCAGGGATAAGGATTGGGGGCGGGAGGAGGCGGTGCCACGTGCCAGAGGGGCGGGAGTGGGGCGGGGCCAGAGAGCAGGCGGCCAATCCGGAGCCAGCGGGGCGGAGCGAGGGCGGGAGGAGGCGGAGCCACAGCCGGGGCGGGGCTCGGCGCGCGGGGGA